CCTACCCGCTACTACTATACGCTAACAACACTGTATGCGTGTACTGAAACCACTGACCACGCCTGATGGGTGCATACTCGATTCCCGATACTAGCAACAACATTACTCTTGCGGCTTCTCGTTTTTCGAGACTATGATAGTAACATGCCTCTTTTTATTTCCTTCTATCCGCAACAAGTTGATCGCACCATCTTCAATGAACCGACTTTATTTTAGCCAACCGCCTTGTTAGGTCCACTTCAACACGACTATATTTACGTCGATAACACTACCTTACCGCTACTAACTGCTAATTATTTACCACAGCTTATTTGCCGCAACTACAACAACCTTGCTTCAACAGCATTAACGCTAGGAACATGATTACCACATTAACTTACGTACGGACTACTTTAATACAACGACATCAACGTTTATGTGACGACTTTGACACTGCGACATTGACACTGCAACCTTATCGCAATAATGTCTATACGCTATCTTTACCGCAATATCCTTAATGCGACGACTTGGACACGATAGCATTAACATAAGTACAATGTAGTTAACGTTAACGCAACAAATTAAGCACAACAACGTTAACGCGGCAACTCTACCACAATATTCTTAATGATACAACTTTAACACAACTTATTTAATGCGACTGCTTTAACACAACAACTCATTTACAACTACTTATCGCAACCACTTTTTTTATTGTTTTTCAATGCGCAAGAGCTTAGCGCAACTACATTTGGATAACCCTAACAAAATTAATTAAAATGAAAAATGCCTTGCTGTGGATATCTGGGGGGCCTAATGTTATGAGGCCGCGATGCCATTTAAGCAGATGAGAGGAATGGCAGAAGGGCTACCGGCAGTGTCAAATCTCCATAGACCCGAACGGTGAGCGAATGAAGCAATTGAGGTGGCTGTCTGCGATAGGCGACTTGCGGAATGATAGAGTCCCGCAGTGTTTTTTTTGGCGCTGGGAGTAGTTGTAGCAAAGACCACCCGTAGGTTCTTATAACATTTATTTCTCGTTTATCACAAACTCTAATTCGGATCACGCGAAATTAAAGTCACATGGCCGAGTGGTTAAGGCGGCAGACTTAAGATCTGCTCTCTCAGAGATCGTGGGTTCGAACCCCACTGTGACTAACTCTTTTGCAGCACTCTTTTTATGCTACCATTAATACTATTATTCATTTTTGCTTCACGGCATATCACAAGCGGACGCAACGAAGTGGACGAAGTGTGTGGAAAAGGCCCAGGGCCGAAGCAAGAAGAAGAACAGAGTTTGCCTGGTGAGCAGAGGCATTTGCGATAGGGACAAAGTCGACAAGCGTGGTGATGCCCAGGGCGACTTGCAGCCAGGCCAGCGAGTACATGAGATGCATTGTGGCGCGTGCGGCGCGAGGCAGCGGCAAACCGCGGCCCTGCCACCAGAGCGCGGAAAGAGCAAAGAACGTCGTCATTGCAAAGGCGCGGTGCTCGAGCTGGACGGTAGACGGGTTCTCTGTAAGATTGCGCCACATGGCGGACGGGTTACCGCGGGCGTAGAATGCGTCCCAGAGCTCCGACAGCGGCGGCGTGATTCCGAGGCCCATTGTTGGGAACTCGTTGTAGATGAGCCCGGCGTCTAGACCGGCGACCATGGCACCGGAAAGGCACGTTGTGCCAACGAGGAGCGTGGCGGCGGCAGTTTTGCGGCGGAACGAGACAATGGCAGGGTTGAGCAGCAGGGCGCGCAGGGCCTCGGGGTTGGCGATCTTGCCTCTGGCTAGACGGTTGGCGCGGATGACGCTCCAGCCATAGAGCGAAAGGCCCGCGTACAGGAGGTAGGCCAGCGACAAGTGGGACGTCAGGCGGTACTGGCTGACGCGCGGGACGGCGTCGGGCCGCTCGCCAAGCTCCTTTTCCAGGCCCGACGAGACCATGTACCAGCCCATGGCGCCCTGGCCGAGCAGCAAGAAGCCTAGGCCCAGAAGCTTCGCTTTGCCCGCACGTGTCACCATGCCCTTGGACATGAAGTACGCCATAGGAAGCAGGTACACGACGCCAAAGAGGCGGCCGACGTTGCGGTGGAACCACTCCATGAAGTAGATGCGCTTGAAGTCATCCAGCGTGATACCGATGTGTACTTTCTTGTACTCGGGGAACTGCTTGTACTTGGCGAACTCGGCCTCCCACTCGGCGTCGCTGGTTGGCAGCCTTGCGCCAGTGATGGGCGCCCACTCGACGATCGACAGCCCGGACTCGGTCAGCCGCGTAAGCCCGCCCCACACTATGATCCCGAACACCATCGATGCGCAGAAGAGCGACCAGTACCCGACGATCGGAGCATCAGCCGTACGCTTTCCCGGCGCTGCTGCTGCTGCTGCTGTGTACGCGCGTCTGCGCGGCGGAGATGCGACAAGCTGTCCTCTTGCACCAGACGCTAGGCTGGAGGCTGCCAGGAAGTTGGACCGTCCGATCAGCGCTGGAAGGCGCGGCGTAAGTAAAGTGTATGCCGCATGCCTGCTTGTGCTGAGGTTATGTATGAAACGAAAGGGCGTCGGAGAGCTGGTTTGGAATACTCTGCTAGCGAAATTGCTGCTTCTGCCCATGGCGCCAACGCTCACAAAGCGTAAAAACACGCCAGGTGGAAAGTGCATCCCCCCGTTTCAAAGAGTAAATAAAAAACCGTGTTTTAAACAAAGATAAGAAATGATCACAGCTAACATTAGAAGCGAAACAGTTTTTAAAGGAAGGGGGAGGAGCTTTATCCGTCTACTCGAGATCAACCAGTTCCACGTCAAAGATCAACGTAGCATTGGCTGGGATTCCAGAAGCCTCGACGCCGCGCTGGCCGTACGCCCATTCTGGCTGGATTTCAAGCGTGGCCTTTTCGCCTTTGACCATCGTCAGCAGCGCCTCGTCCCAGCCGCGGATGACGCGACCTGTGCCGACCTTGAATACAAGCGGCGTGGGTGCCTTGCGGCCCTTTGTCTTGATGTTGGAGTCGAACTCTGTGCCATCTTGCAGCCGTCCCGTGTAGAACACGCTGACGCGGTCGCCCTTTTGCGGTTTGCGGTCGCCCTTTTGCGGTTTGCGGTCGCCCGATCCCTTCTTGGTCACCTTCTTCGTGTACTTTGCCTCGTCCGTGGGCTGCTCCTTCTTTGCAGCCTTGGCTTCATTGTCCCCTGCTGCTGCCGCTGCTGCTACTTGTGTCTTTTCCTTCTTGACCTCGGATGCTGGCACCTCGGTGCTTGATCGGAACTGTTTGGTCTCAAATAGCTCCTTGTATGCAGTAACCAGCGCTGGCTTTTTTGCTGTCTTTACCACGCTGGCTAGCTTGCCGTTCAACTTGTGCGCAAGAAGAAAATCGTTACTGCCACTTTCTTGCAAGTATGCTACAAGATCCTTCTTGCTGACACCATCGCTGCCCAGCTCCTCCTCAGTCCACTTTGGTTCGATGTTGCTCATTCTGATCCTTAAATGTAATGCAAAAAGTAAAAACAGAAAATAGTGGACAAAAAAAAAGCTTGTCCCTTTTCTTGTTTTTCATTTTCATTTTCATTTGCTTCACTTTGTTTCTTTTTTATTATTATTCTATTATTGATGGACTTTCTGTTGCGGTCGAGGAGCACTGTGTCTGGGCTTCCGTCCCGACGCCAAGTAATGGACGCATACCGCGGGATCCTTCGCGAAGCGCGGGCGTTCTTTGACGATACCACACGCGACTTTATTACAACGTACGCCAAGAGAGAGTTCCGCAAAAACCACCACGACAAGAAGACACAGCGCTCACGGCGGAAACTACAAGGCGCACGCACAACAATACACTTGCTGGAGCGCGCAAACGCACACCACTTCAAGGACGTTGTAAGCGTTCTAGAGTACGGGTACGGGAGAAAGGGACCGCGCAAAGTGCAACTGTTACACGCAATGGCAAAGATCGCACCCCGCGACCTCGTGTTTGGAAACCTAAGAGAGGTTGCCAAGTACAGGCCGGCGTTCTATGCGATAGCCGAAAGGCAGTTTGGTACCAAGAAGCTTACCGTTAGCAACGAGGAGCTGAAATCAAAGCATCCGTTGAACGTGGCGAAAATGCAGGACCGCCATTGGCACCAGCTCCGGCACCGCACCGTGCCCCCCATCGACCGCCCTACCATGGAACTTGTTGAAGAGCGCGCACGTACTGGCGCTGTTACAAACTCATTGTTGAGGTGCAAGGATCTTTCTGCCGAGGACGCCCGCGTGCTGCGCATGTGGGAGCAAAGGTGGGTGAAGCTGCCGCAAAAGGCGCAGGTCATTCGGTATTACCGTGCGCTGCTTACAAATATGGACATTATGGACGTCCGTATCGATATGGTGCCGAACAAGGGAAAGTACCTGAAGTCGATGCCCAGGCGGAATATCCTGGATGCATCGGGTGCTGTGAAACCCGATCTTATTCCCAAAAAGGCATTCACTTTCCACAAGTCATCCCTTGCTGGCAAAAAGCCCCCAAGCACCGCAAACAGCATCGACGTCTTTAACCCTCCATCCCCAGCCATGTAATATACAAAAACCAACACGCGCGATCTTGCTTTTTCAGATGAATTTTATCGATGATAATAAAACTAGACAGTCCCACTCGACGATCTACGGCGAATGAAGCGCAGCGGAATTCAGGGTAGATCAGGGAGGGATCGAGCAACGCGAGCGTGGACTGTCTAGTCGAAGACAATAAAAAGGAGATTTAAAAAATGGAACCCGCTTTGCTCTAAAGCAAATAAAAGATTGAAGTGGAAAAGGGAGACAGGTAATAAATAGACCCTTTTTTCATTTAGCCGCGCATTTCGTAAACGGCCAGTTTGTCCAGCGCCCTCGGGCCGTACTCTTCCCACTCTTGCTTTGTGACCCACGACGCCTCGTTGTTCTTCATAACGTCAGCCAGCACAGCGCCGCCCAAGAACACCATGTGTCTGCGGTTGGGCGGGTCGTCAATCTGCAGCTTGAACTTGTCAAGCCTGGACACATCGCCGTTCAGTACGTTCTGCAAGTACAGCTGCTTGGATTCCTTCTCTAGGCGGCTCGGCAACCCTGGGTACATCGACGACCCTCCCGAGAGCACCACGTGCTTGTACAGCTCTGAGCGGATGTCGATCGGCGCCGCCTGCACCGTATCGATCAGGAGCTCTGCGACGCCTGGCGACTCGACGTCGATGAGCTCAGGCTGGAACAAGCACTCGGGTGCTTGGAACCGCTCCGATCCGACCTTGATGACGCGGCCGTCGGGCAGCGTATAGCTTTCCACTAGCGTTGTGGTCTCTGTGGCCAGCTTCTTGTCCAAGTCCAGGTCATAGCTGACGTAGCACACCTTTTCCTTGATCTGGCGCACTGTTTCAAAGTCCGCAGTGCGGTTGAACGAATACCCGCGGAGCTGCAGCAGCTTGATCAGGTACCGGGTGACATGGCGTCCCGCGACGTCCAGCCTCTTGGTCAGGTTCGGCAGCGAGTAGCCTTGGTACACTGGGATGATGTGTGTGACGCCATCGCCCGAGTCAATCACCACGCCCGTCAGCAGGCCCTGCGCATACAGCGTCAGCACCGCCTGGATCGCCACGTACACGCCGTTAAACCCGTACCGCTCAAACATCACCTCACACATCCGCTGTCTGTTGGCCTTTGGGTTGAGCGGCGCCTCCGTCAGCAGCACCTTGCACTGCGAAGGGTCCACCTTGAGCTTCTCGTAGAACGTGTAGTCCCACACGTGCTGCATGTCCTCCCAGTTCTTGACTATCCCGTTTTCCAGCGGGTACGACATTTCGAGAATTGCTCTCAGCGCCGCCGCCTCGTCGCCCACGTTGATGTCCTTAATCTCGTATGCCACGTCTGCCACCGTCGTCGCCTCCTCCGCGCGCAGCATTGGCCGCCCCACCACAGATGGGAACACATGTTTCGGGAAATTCGACCCCGCGTACCCGACCTTGGCAAACCCTGTGCCGTTGTCTACTACAAGCACGTTGTCGTTGCTCATCCTCCTTGCTGGTAGTACAATAAAAAAGAAAAGCTTGTCGCCTTGTTCGATATATAGATGCTGTCGGACCGGATTTGGTTTATAAATGAAAATGATGAGCCGAGAAAAAGAAAAAACAAAAAGGCGCAAACTTCAGCTTGCTTGCTTTGTGCGA